TAATACAATTTGGTTAAATCACAACATGAATTTAGTTTCAATTTTAAGTTTCTGCCTTCCTCAAAATCCATCTGATCATGGATCCAAGATCAATAGAAGGAGGGAGGACCCATGACCTTATCTTTTCCAAGTTCTGCCATTACTCCTTTTCTCATCCCTTCTGCTTCTGTCCCTTTTATGGTTGAAGAGAGTTAGGGTCAGAGGAGCAAGAATGAGAAGAAAAAAGTGAAATATATGTTTTGTTTGGTTTTGACTTTTAGTTAGTAAAGGTTATTTACATTTCTCTTCTGCTTATCAAATGCAATCTGTCCAAAGGCAGGTATCCAAATATTGGCTATTTGGTAGGGTTCATTAGTGGATTCTTCAAAAAAGTTTTAGAAGATCTTTGCAGTGCACCATTCCCTCCTTTGAACCACAACTTCTTATATGTTCTTTCCTGCCCCTTTATAACACAATACTCCAGTGTTCTTCTAACTGTATTCTCCAATTATCAGCCAGGTCTGTTGCGTGATGGACTTGGGGTGAAGAAAGGAACTTTTATTGTTCTTCCACTCACTCCAGTGTTCTATTTTCTCTGTATCTTTAGGGATCAGGAATAGGGATGAAGGAAAAGGGGCCAACCAACGCCCTTCTTAGACCTTGGCAATCAGGACACCTCTCCTATGACTTATACATCACACAGAATGTGCAAGGTATAATAATAAAATACAAGAAATATACTAAAGAATATGAATGTCTTGCTTATTAAAAAACTTGGCTCAATTTTGACACAGCAAGACCTGTAATTTCAAGCATTTAACCCTCCTAACTCTCTTAAGATATCAAAGAAACACTTCTTCATCTGTCTTGCTGTGTATTTTGAAAGAAAATGTGACTACTTCCTAGTGCCTTTTGACAGTTTGTATATTCTGTTTTCAGTGTCAGAGTCATATGATAAATACTTTGGTTTTTCAGTTAATCTTTATGTGGTGCAAACGCTACAGTAAGAAAAGAGACTAATTAATTAACTTGCATATTCTTTATTTCAGATAGCATGGGTACAATAGATTCTTGCTTAGTGAAATATTTCCCCTCATCTGAGGAAGGCCAGATTTTCATTTTCTTGTTTCTCCACGTGATTTGATTTGTGATTTCAGAATTAGTGAGATACGTTCAACAGTTACTTATTTTGATTAAGAAACACTTTTAACATTAAAAAAATATATTACTCTTAAATTTGTGTATATTACATATGTGTGTGTATGTGGTATATATGTATCTAAACATAATGTGCATTATTAATGAGATGCCAATTTATTAATTTGCCAACATGATGCTAGCTTGCAAAATTTATTTTTTAATTATATGAAATATTTGAATATATTTTTAAAGACTTAAAATGTATCTTAATTTGAAATGTTTCTATATTCATTATTGATAATTTGTTTTTGTCTTTTAATGTTGATAAAGAATTGTGAATTTAGAAGCAAAGTAACTTTTTGAAGCATATGAATATGATACAATTACTCACATTTAACTTGATTTACATTTTCATACAAATATTCGCTTTTTCATGCTTTCAATAAACTTACATTTTATTTCTAAATTATTTTAATTTATTATCATTTGAGCGTAAATTATGTGAAAAAAATTTTTTTTGAAAAATTTGATCTAATAGCATAGTTATTGTTTTTCTGAGAAAGAGTAAGCAAAATAATCCATGTGGAATAAATACAAAAAATTATGTATTATGTGTATATTTTACCTTATTATTGACTTAAACATAACTTGCCATATATAAAATATTTAGAAATGTACAATAATAATTAAAGCCAGTTTTCTTTCATAAAAACCACAGCCTTACACTTTTTTGAAATTTTATCATTATGAAATTATATTTATTAAGTAGGAAAACAGTGGATATTATTCAACAATTTGTTATCTTGGGGGCGCCTGCGTGGCTCAGTCGGTTAAGCAGCTGTCTTTGGCTCAGGTCATGATCCCGGGATCCTGGGATCGAGCCCCGCATCGGGCTCCCTGCTCAGTGGGAAGCCTGCTTCTCCCTCTGCTTCTGCCTGCCGCTCTGCCTACTTGTGCTTTCTGTCTCTCTGTCAAATAAATAAATAAATAAAATCTTTAAAAAAAAAAAAATTGGGCGCCTGGGTGGCTCAGTTGGTTAAGCAACTGCCTTCGGCTCAGGTCATGATCCTGGAGTCCCGGGATCGAGTCCCACATCAGGCTCCCTGCTCGGCGGGGAGTCTGCTTCTCCCTCTGACCCTCCTCCCTCTCATGCTCTCTGTCTCTCATTCTCTCTCTCTCTCAAATAAATAAATAAAATCTTCACTAGCAGAGCTTGTTATTTTATTTTTTCTCTCTCTTTTTTTCCCCAATCTGGATAATAATGACTATCTGTTCCCTCTGTGGCAAAGATGCAAATGCTGAGATATTTTTCAAAAGTATGTTTGAATTCTTCAGCAAATCCTGCATATCTTCCCCACTGCCAATTCCTTCTTTAAGATCTGGTTTATTGTTTTCCAAACAGCCCTCCTGCCTCAGCTATAAGCTCCATCTTTGTACGTGCATTTGTCTCTTGCTCCTAGAATCTCTTGGGCAGGTAGAAAATACTCCTGGGTTTGGTATTGAGAAAAAGGCTCCAGGTGAGCAAAATTCTGCAGCAGTAACCCTCGATCCACACAACATTCACACATCCTTGATATATCTCAAATGGAGAGAGTATAGTCTGCTACACCCAGGTAAATTGAATGCTCAACTTGATATTTCTCCCCAATTCTTAGGTTGGCACAAGGGCAACTCATTGAGTTGACTGCCTTGCATTCTTTAAAGCAGCATATTGAATAAGGGCTACCCATTTCCAAACAAAAATGGAGCAAAGAAAGAGTAGAATGTTACTACGGAACCACTCTTCCCGTTTATTTCTCTCTGTAAAGTGAGAGTGAGCACTGAATTAGTGACTGGTGATAGTGGAGTCCCTTCTTACTTGGCAATTCTTAGAGAAAGGCATCTATCCCTGATATTGGCAGTTCTATATAGGCTCATTTCAGAAGAAGAATTTTCACATATGTTTTTAATTATTAGTCACAATTAGTGTAAAATCTCCATTCTATCTCTTGTTGTAATGGTGTGCTAAAGTGTGAGATTACTTATAATACAAATTATCTTAAAGGAAAATTGGCCTGTATAACCAGTCAACTTATTACTTCACAAATAATGTCAAAAATCTAACAAATATATATATATATATATATATATATTTTTTTTTTTTTTTTTTTTTTTTTTTTTTTTTTTTTTTGCCAAGCTGGGGGGCTGCTTATGATGAAGAAAGTGTTGCTTCAGGGGAAGAGTGAAAATCTTAAAAAAATGAATATTAGAAATGGGGAAAACAAAACACTAAATAGCAATCCACCGCTCAGAAAATGTGACATAATCTAAAAGAATCACCAGGGGATGACTTGGACTCTGAAAGGATCTTCCACTTTAAGAAAAAATCATTCTAATTTCCACTCAGAAAGCAATTTCCTATTTTTAAAACTGCATGTCTAGCTTTGACATTAAACTAATATGTATTGATTCCTATCTCTCTGGTTGTACTAGAGAATATTGATTCATATGTTAAAAAATTATCAACACCCTTATCACAGTGTTTCTGAAATTAATATTTTAACTTCTTCAAGAAAACACTAATCTATTCAATCAGCAGATTAATATTCTGACCTCAAAATTCACATTTGTGGAAAAAGGGTAGAGATAGGACCTAAAGAATATTATAGAATTTTGTCTACTCCTTAACTTTTCCTCTTTCTGTGCAACCATTTGTCTTTTGTGTTCATATTAATGAGAATCTTCAGTACTATGTGGAACAATTGATAGATATTTGACATGCATGCTCAGAAAAGTAAAATATTTTTCTGTGTGATATAAGTAAAACAAAGCATTCTTTGTATGATGTGCCAGTTTCTAGCCATTTACTATTAACTTATTTATTCTTCCAATTACATATATAATTTTATACTTGGAAAACAGGTACAGAGACACTAGATTTTATATAAGTAACAGTTAACAAGTGCTAGAGGTAAATTCTAAATCCAGGGAATTAGCTTCAGAGTCTCCTTTTACTCATAACAAAATAGTGTGTGTTATACTGAACAAATGTTGTGGTATTAAATAAATACTTTGTCATGGTGATGGTGGTGATGATTTGTAGTTTTTTTTTTAATTGAAATAAGGACTGTTTTAAAGAATTTATTTGGCTCGGATTTGGTGAAATTATGAAGGAGGAGGAGAGGAGAAGAAAAAAAGAGAAGGAATAGGAAAATGAAGGAGGAGGATGAGGAGGAAAAGGAAGAGTAGGGTCAGGAGGATCATGAGGTGGCGGAGGAGAGAACATTATGCCCCATTAACTAGGGCTAAACCAATGTTTGTTTATAGCTCACATCCTATATCAAGATTCAAAACTTATTTCTCATGCCTTATGTGGTTAACAAACTGATAAACTCATACACTACAAAAACCTACAGAGACAAGTTTAATGAATGAGTCTCAGAATTAGAGACCCTTAGAATCTCTTTTTTTTTATTGTATTTATCCTTTTTTGCCTTTCATGTGATGATGGAAGAGAGTTCATAAAACATAAAACATCTAGCTCTGATTAACTCAATTCTGGCAGTGGACATCTGGCAGTAACAGTTTTCAGATATTTTAGGTTAATTAACAGTTCTGCTGATGAGGACAAACTCACTTCAATCCTGATGGATTAGCTAGCATCGAGCAGAAGAGAATCCTGTTCTCTATACAAATTTAACCACAAACAGTCACATCACATGCAGTATAGTGGTTTTGGTGTGCACAGAGATTATAATATGAGTAGTTCAGTAAAATTTATTAGCTGACAAAAAGAAGAATGTGAAATAATTTGGTGAGGTCATTTTAAGGGTTGAAGTACTATACCTCCAAAAAAAAAAAAAAAAAAACCCATACATTTTATATATGAAAAAACATACAGAATGCTCGCTTCGGCAGCACGTATACTAAAATTTAAACAATACAGAGAAGATCAGCATGGCGCCTGAGCAAGGATGACATGCAAATTCATGGAGCATTCCATATTTTTTAAAAATAAGACGAAATCAGAGAGGAAGACAAACCATAGGAGACTCTTAAGTATAAGAAACAAACTGAGGGTTGCTGGAGGGGAGGGGGGATGGGGTAACTGGGTGATGGGCATTAAATAGGGTACTTGATGTAATGATCGCTGGGTATTATCACTAAACTCCACCTCTGAAACTAATGATACACTATATGTTAACTAACTGAATTTAAATTAAAAATTATATATATAGGTAGATATAGATGCATGTTGTGCTACTGTTTGCATTATCACTTATCCTATGCAGCTCCACCACAAAGGATCTGAAACCAAAGTTGACCTTTTAAAGTCTTCTTCTCAGAGAAACACGTGATTGTCAGTCCATGCTTTTTCCTTGGTTGAATGAACTAGATCATTGCATAAACCTTTGTTGAGTTGAATTTCCTTCTGTACCACCATGTCTTCATTTGGTACAGAATCCTCTCAACTTTCCTTATCATCATATATTGTGCATCTGTCAAAAACTTCCTCTTCTGCCAGGCTATGAGATCCTTAAGATTAGGGACAATATACACTTATTTCTATAACCTTAATGTGTAGGCTTCAATACTGCACAGAGTGGGTACTTATTAAATATGTGTTTAATCTATTTGAATACAATTTACTTTCAAAATATCCTAAAAAGCAAATGTGAAAATACAGCTTGCAAATATCCTTTACTAAAACAATATCCAAAAGTTATTAATTTAATTATATTTTATTTTATTTATTCATTCATTCAACATACATTTATTAAGAACTTACTAAGTGTCAGATACTGTGCTTGGCTTTAGAGACACATTGGTAAATAAGATATCCACAGTTGACGGCCTCAAGGAGCTTATTGTTTGTTAGAAAGGCATACAAGAAGTTAAATGACATAGATAGTGACCACCAAGTGTGATGTTTGTAATGATAGGAAAAATATATTGAGCTACCGAACAATAATTAGAGGGATGAGCATTAAACACTTACAGTTCTGTGGTTTCTGTCCAAGAATGCCCCTCCCACTCACCTTTGCATACATCCATCTTTGGAGGCAATCCTTCACTTTTGGAAGAACTGCATTAGAAAAAGTTGTTTTCATACAATATAACCCAGCCTGTAGTTAGTAGATACCATCAGAGATGGGAATTTGATCCAGACTGAGACAAACCAGAAATTTCTACAAGTATTGGAACTAGGAAGAATAAGGATTGTATAAATAATGCTTCTGAAATGAGTTTGGCAATGCTAAGCACCCAATACATGAAGATAAAAATAAGACTAAATGTATTGCCAGGCAGAATTTAGACTCAAGGAAAAAATAGGTTTCCAAAAAATTTGAGGCATTATACATAAGATTGCCTGGCTAGAGATTCTGAAATATATAATATCTCAATAGGAAATCGAAATTGTAAATGACCTAGAACACTTTAGTTGACACAGTTTTTTTTTAAAGATTTTGTTTGTTTATTTATTTATTTGAGAGAGAGCATGAGCAGGGGGACGAGCAAAGGGGGAGGGAGAGGTAGGAGAAGAATCTCAAGTAGACTCACAGAGCCTGACATGGAGCTCTATCCCTGGACCCTGAGATCATGACCTGAGCTGAAACCAAGAGTCAGATGTTTAACTGACTGAGCCACCCTGGTGCCCCAACTTGACATAGTTTTTAAAATATCTCTGATTAAAAAAAAAAATTGACTTGAAGATTTTGAGTTGAAATTTTCATACAACAATCTAATTCTGGGTTATTCAGTGCCTTAGAGCTGACCAAGCTCATAGTCAGTACTTAATAATAGTTGTTGAATTGAATTGAATTGAATTCCCAATATTGCTGGCAAATCGTTGACAAGTTTACTTAAATTTCAAAAAATATATGAGGCAAAGTTAAAATTTTTTGACATGGAAAATGTAAAGTGCCCAATTTCTAACATAATTAGCATCGTTAACATTAAGAATTTTTAAAAAGTGACCCAAAATAGCGAAAAAAATTCCTCATTATGTTAGTAGTGGTGTAAATTAGTGCATTTATGGCAAATAATTTGGCAAAAGCCTTAGCATTTTATAACATTCACATCAAAAATTCTATTTCTAGGTTTTTATTTTATAGGAGTAATTTGTGGATATATTTAAGATAGAGCTATAACATTGTTCATTGCAATATAGTTTGCAATAGAAAAATTTCTAAACAACCTAATAGTCTAAGAATAGGTAATTGATTGAATAAATTTTCATAGACCGTTACCATATAATACTATGCAGTCATTAAACATTATGTTGCAGAATAATATTTAATGGCTTGGAAAATGGTCATGAGGTAATGTTAACCCAAAGAGCAGATTACAAAATTGTGTGTAAAGAATAATGTCATTTAATGCCCATATATATAAATGGGCATTGTGTGTATATATATACATATATATGTATATATATGAAATGCCTGGGGTGATTTTCCTTTCTTTATTCTCTTTTACTGCTTTTAAATTTTTTTCTTCAATGTCTACACTTTACTAGTTATGATGGCTGTAATATGGTAGTAGGCAGTCTCCTAATCAATGATGTGCTTTTAAGGTTTTCCCTCTGTTCTTGTTTTTTAGCATAATAATGTGCTTAAGTGAGGTTGCCCTCTTTGGTATTCATACTTACTTCTTGAATTTAAAACTTGAAGTGTTTCATCAGTTGTGGGCAATACTCTGGGGAAGGTTGAAGCTTTGATCAGTTAGGAACTGGGAAATGAGTGCAGTAGCTTGCTGCCAGAAGTCTAGATGGGGTGCCAAACATGCTATATTACTGGTTGAACCAAAGGCCAGAAACTATGCTACATGAGTCAAATATGGCTTACAGCCTATTTTGTAAACCATATTTTGTTAGATCACAGTCATATCATTGTTTAGATATTTCTAGATCTGTTTTCACACTGAAATGAGAAAATTGAGTAGTTAACACGAAACCATATATTTTACAAAACCTGAATATGTATTATCAAGTGCTCTACAGAAAGCTTGCTTACCTCTGGTTTAGAGAAAGAGTATGGTCTTAGTAGTCAGGTCATCTTGATAAAAAAACAGAAACAAAAGATCTGGTTCTAAGATATGCTAAAACTGTTTATCTTGTGCTTAACTTTTCTGAACCTTGCTTGGTCTTCATAATTATCATGAGAAATACAAGAGAATGCATGTGAAGATTCAGACATCACAGTGTCTTACATAATGGGCATTCAGATAATGTGATTTAATCAAACCAATTTGTCCTTTGCATTTTGGTTCATGATAGCCAAGTTCAGGCCACATATGCATCAAGTCTGGAATATTGTAATAACTGACTGGATATATATCTACTGTTTCCATTTTCTTTCCTCTTCAATCTATCCTGTACATGACTATATTTATAACATATATGATTTTCTTCATGTTGTAACATAACTTGAACAGCTATTCTCTTTTGATATAGGATGCCTTATTTTCCTCTGCTTTAGTCAAGAGGGATTTTCCTTATTTTTGAATGAAAGTGACTTTCTCCAGGGCAGAATGAGTCCATGCTGAAAAGTCAAATGTGTTATGTGAAGACTGAATACTTCTAGTAATCCAAGAAGGGGAAATGTGTTGTTGTGTTGCATTGTTGTTATTGCCTTTACTGACTCAGTGCATTAAAATGTCCTGACCTCAGTGGATCATTAAGGTGCTTTTGGCTGACCAGAAAGGGCTTTTGTGATACATGCATTTGGTGGACATCACACAGATATTCAGGGGATAATAACAAAATGAATGAAGAGCCCAGACATTAGGCAATCTGAACCTGGGATGTCATCCAGTTACATTGGCAAGAGTAACCACTGCTTGAACCTTGTTGGCTCAGGGTCCACTCCAGCTGACCACCTTGTCCTCAAATACATGGGAAATTAACCTTGTCTGGATTCCGATAAAACAGCAGCTAAATGTCTATTCTCCTCATAAGTGGAACATTCATCCTTTCTGTCAGAGTGTTCTTCCCAGCCATCTGCTCAGTAGAAGCAAGATCCATTAAGTATGTCATGGATCTTCACAGTATTAACTTTAGGTACTTCATGAAAGTTACTCTCAACACAATTTTCTGAGGAAAAACCCCTAAGAACCCCTGTGTACTGGGGTGCAGCTCCTTGATTTAAATATATCTGAAGTGCCAGGAACTAGGACCTTATGGAGGAACATTACTACTGCATTTGATTCATGTTACTTTATGTGTTGCTTCGTGTTTTGCATCAAGCTTCTTTACATTTTGGGGGATTAGCGTGACCCAAAGTATTTTACCAGACAGTGATTCTTAATTGCAGTGTGCATCAGAATCAACTGGGGAGTTTGTAAAAATCCAGATTATTGGGCCCAGACCACAGCGTGTCTGATTCAGAAGGACTGGTGTGGATCCCGATATTTGTTCCATCTGCCAATTTCCCAGATGATGCTAATGTTGATGGGAACACAACTGGAGGAGCACTGATTCAACATATGTAGCATAGAAAAGATTAAGTTTTGTTATGGAAATATTCTGTAGGGTAATACTCCATTGCATTTTTTCATTTTGGATACCACTCTCTTTGCTGCAATTTCCTCAACCAGTGTACGCACTTCAAATATCCATCTCATGTCTTTTGTAGGTATTTTTAGAATTTAAAATGAACCCGTCATGGGGAGCCTGGATTGCTGTCAGTTAAGTGTCTGCCTTCAGCTCAGGTCATGATCCCAGGGTCCTGGGATCGAGCCCCACATCGGGCTCCCTGCTCAGTGGGGAGCCTGCTTCTCCCTCTCCTTCTGCTGGTGCTCTCTCTCTCATGCTCACTCTCCCTCTCTCAAATAAATAAATAAAATCTTAAAAAAATAAAATAAATAAAATAAAATGAATCCATCAGGTTATACTAAATCCCTATGATCAAGTGAGAATATGCAATTTACCTGTTTAAGAATTTACATATTATTTATATATATTTCTCTGTGTATGTATATATGTATATATAATATATATAATATTGT